CCTTAGTTAAGTTGACATTGTGTCAATTTTGTGGTCTTGTAGATGGTCAACCAGAGAGCACCGTGAAGGACATTGACAATATGGTTAGGTCCTTCATCGAGAAGGTAATCTTCTTACTGTGTTGTTGAGAACATTTATGAGCTATTAGATTATGAGACTTGCGTTTTGTGTTTCTATGAGGTGTTTAGTGAGTTTATGTTTCACGAGATGAAATATGCTTTATTTACTGGAATAATATGCCTTTTCTTGCCAGCCCAACTGTATTATTTTGGCAATTTCCCCTGCCAACCAAGATCTCGCTACTTCTGATGCAATTAAGATCTCTCGTGAAGTCGACCCTAAAGGTAAGATTATAAAATGTTTCGTTATGGAATTGCCATGACTTTTTCACCTTCTAGCTAAAAATACATGGTGGGGATGATTAATAATCCTACTTAATTCCAATGATTTAAAAGAAGAAGAAAAAAAAAAAAAAAGTAATACGACTGAGCAGGTGAACAAATTTGACAAGTTGTAAACAGGAAGGGTGGAAGATGTGAAAAGGAACAAAAAAGACAAGAAGATGGTTTTAATTTGCAGCAGTGAGGTGAAAGGATATCAAGATTTCATATGTTCAACTTTTAAGTTCTGTTTCCTCTGGTTTTGAGAAATGCTCTCGTCTTCGGTTGATCAAAACATATGTCATTTCAAAAGTGGCAGATTTCACTAATTAGGAGTATTTTCTATTTACACACTTAGATTTTAAATTTGGTTTCCCATTTCTCAGGGGAGAGGACATTTGGAGTTCTGACGAAGATTGATCTTATGGACCAGGGTACAAATGCAGTTGATGTAAGTCACTTCTGAATTCATAGACAAAAGAGGAAAAAGGAAAAGAAAAATAAGAAAGCAAACGCTTTTAAGATGTGGAATCAAGCAGTTTACCTGCTCGGTGACATTTTATTGTCTTGTTTTCGGATCCCTTGTTCTAGGTCTGTGAAACCTAATGTTCTGAGTAAATTGTAAGGGTGGTGCTCTGAGATCATCAATGCTGCAAGCATGTCTTCATGATTTGTTTTGGGCTCAAAAGTCTCATTACAGTATCATTATGGCTGCCTGCATTGAGAGTTTCCAGTTTCAAGGGTTTACGTTACTTTTACTTTTCAGATTTTGGAAGGAAGATCATATAAGCTACAGTTCCCCTGGATTGGTGTTGTCAATCGCTCCCAAGCTGATATAAACAAGAGTGTCGATATGATTGCTGCTAGGCGTAGAGAGCGTGAATATTTTTCTAGTAGCCCAGAGTACAGGCATCTTGCAAACAGGATGGGCTCTGAGCATTTGGGTAGGGTGCTTTCTAAGGTATGCAGGTTTATTATCCTAAATGCATTTTATATGTTCAGTTGTTGAGCTTTCACGCACAATTATGCTCTTATAGATTATAAAGTTAGAGAAAATACTTACGAAATCCAGTCTGCTTCCTTTTAATGATATATTTGCAATGGTCAGTTTTGTTTTGTTTTACTGATGAGCTTCGTACCTATCACTATATGTCATCAAACTTTCAGCATCTAGAAGTTGTCATAAAGTCTCGAATTCCAGGCCTTCAGTCTCTTGTCAGCAAAACTATTGGTGAACTAGAGGCAGAACTAAGCCGACTCGGTAAGCCTATTGCTGCTGATACTGGGGTAAGAATATACATATAAATCGTTCCTTTTGGCTTATCCTGTACTTTTCACCATGACAAGTAATGTAGACCTAGCAAAAATTTTCTTGGGCTGTCTGTATTGTTGTATTGTATGTAGTACAATAAGCATTGCTAATTTCAGTTTCATCGTTTTTTTTTTTTTCACATGCAGGGAAAATTATATGTGATCATGGAGATCTCTCGTACTTTTGATCAGATATTTAAAGAACATCTAGATGGCGTGTATGTATTGTGCTATCATTGTCCGATTTGAAGTTAATTGGAAAGTTTGTTTTCATTTCATTCTCGTTTCCTTATTCAACCTTGGGATTTATGATAATTTCCATTTTCTCCAGGCGCTCTGGTGGTGAGAAAGTTTATGGAGTGTTTGACAATCAATTTCCAGCTGCTTTGAAGCGGTTGCAGTTTGACAAGCATCTTTCAATGGAAAACATCCGAAAGCTAATTACTGAAGCAGATGGATACCAACCTCATCTAATTGCTCCTGAACAAGGTTACCGTCGCCTTATCGAATCTTCATTGCTCTGCATCAGAGGTCCTGCAGAGGCAGCTGTTGATGCGGTATGCATACATATCTTTGCATGTAATCTCCATAGGCAATTAAACCATGGGAATTTTTTTTCTTCATATTATTAGACTGATATTGCACGAGTAAGCTAGTGTCTTAGTTTCCATGTGGCCAAAAGATTTTCATACCTGAGGGACAAATGCTTTCTTTGCAGCATGGGATGCGCACACGAATGTGTTAATAATGAGATGTTGATTTTTGTATTTTCATTCCGCACAATCTTTTAATTGTTTTAATTCTCCAACTGTTATTGCCAGTGCTGCTGCTGGTGCTAGCATAATTTTTTTTCATTGCAAACATGTATAATGTGTAAGTGCTTCAAATCATTTTTCTTGATTTTCTTTTGTCACGATATCAGGTTCATGGCATATTGAAGGATCTGGCTCAGAAATCTATCAACGAGACTACGGTAAGTTCATTACCTTGTATTCCTGAATTCTGTCCGTAAATTAGGAATTTAGGACAGCTTGTCAACATTGCTTATCATTCATTATTTGTCCCTAAACATGATTAATCTTTTCTCTTAATGGATGGTTCTTCTTTGGTATGTAGGAACTAAAGCAGTATCCCACTTTAAGGGTAGAAGTTGCGAATGCAGCATTTGAGTCCCTGGAAAGGATGAAAGAAGAAAGCAAGAGAGCAACTCTGCAGCTAGTAGATATGGAATGTGGCTACCTAACAGTTGACTTTTTCCGCAAGCTTCCTCAAGATATTGACAAGGGTGGAAATCCGACACACTCACTCTTCGACAGATACAATGATTCATACCTCCGGCGGGTTGGTGAGTTGCTCACTCTAATACCTCTATAATCATATCCAAGATTTGAATCACTTAAGAAGAACTGGGAGGTAAAATCTTAAAACGATACATATTAATGGCCTGTTTGATAACCATTTCATTCTACCATCATCATTAGGTTTATCAGTTTATGTGGTTGCGTTGATGATCATGGTTCTTTTGTGTTTGAAACAAACAGGACACAATGTGTTAAACTATGTCAACATGGTTTGCTCGAGTTTAAGGATTGCTATCCCAAAGTCCATCGTCTATTGTCAAGTACGGGAGGCCAAACGCATCTTGCTCGATCATTTCTTTGCAGAGTTGGGTGCAAAGGAGGTGAGGATTGTTCCCTAGAAGAGTGAAATTTACGAAAACATTTGAAAAGAACAAAGAAACTAAGCCTAGTCGAATTAGAGTTATACTAGTAAGATTTTCGAAACTATTTTCTTTTCGTTGCAGGCAAGGCAGTTGGCTAAGTTGCTGGACGAGGATCCGGCGGTCATGCAGAGGCGTACATTGCTTGCAAAAAGGCTAGAGTTGTACAGAAGTGCCCAGTCTGAGATTGAAGCAGTTGCTTGGTCCAAGTAGAGAGAGAGAGAGAGAGAGAGAGAGAGAGAGAGAGAGGGAGAGGGAGGGAGGGAGAGAGGTGAATAATTGCTTTGTTAGGAGTTAGAATATAGAATTAGGCTGGCAGTAATTGGTTTGATTCATGATTAGTTAGTAGTTCTTTTTTCATTAATTACGGGAATTTTGTCATCATCTTAATGACGCCCATTCTATTCTTTTGGGTTAACTTTCTTGTTAAGAAAGAGCTTATTAAAGTTTTGTTATCATTTTCTGTTAAAGGGATTTGATTTAGTATAGACATTTTTCTGCAATTAAAATTTTCTTCCACCTTTCCCTTTTCTTTTTGTTGTTGTGAGAACAGAAAAAAACATTACATATCAATGTTTAACATGCGAAAAATTATTAAATTAGATACAAAAGTAATTTTAATTATGTCCTAAATTTGCAAATTTGTCTGTGGTCATATTAACTTCTCGATAAAAGAGAATTAAAGATACACTCAGGAAGTTTCATGAGCACTGTATTAACAAGTTCTTTTTTTTTTTTTTTTTTTTTGAACAAATGATATTATTTGCACTAAAAGGGTACGAGAATGGGCTAAGTTTCATTTAGGGGTGGAGATGTTCTTAATAATATTTTAATATGAATTGCCTAACTTTTTTAATACTTTTTCTTTTTAAATACTTTTTCTTTTTAATCCCAACAGTACCAAACCAATACGAAGTACTGTGTTTGAATGCAACTATTGTCACAAAAATTTCAGGGTCCTACTCTAGGGTCAAGTTTCATTTATTACAAACGATATTATCTATATTAAAGGGAGAAAGTGAGCGTAGCCTCACAATATGCTAGTAATAATGTAGTTTAAATTCGCCTTTGACGAGAATTGAACCTAAGACCTCTCACTTACAAGTGAAGAATAATACCACTAGACCGTAATGCTAAGTGGCAAGATTAAAATATTTTTTAAAAATGTTGTATGAAGTTGTAGTTGAACACAAACCTAAAGATGTAAAATGTAATTTACCGTGCTTTAAAAGTGTTAAACCTTATCAAAATTACTTAACCTCTTTATCGACTAAAGTCACGTTACTAGTCTTGTATGATGACTAACGTTATACCTGAGGGCATGTTTTTCTATAAAACTTATTTCATTTTTTTATAAGAAAAAAAATATAAAAAATCAACTTCATATGAAAAGAAGGGAAGGACATATTTAAAAAGAGTCAATTACACTTCAATCCTACGATATGATTCGAACGTATTGTGTACCAGTCTGTTGCGTTTTTGTGGAGAAATTTTTATAAGTACTGACAGCACATATCATATGTATATTTCATATGGGTAAACAACAATGTTGATATGTCGGATTTTGAAGGTTATCCTATGTTAAAATTTAATTGGAAATATAACATCACATGACCGTATTTTGGATCACGAATATTTCCTCAATGAAGTGCAAATGTTAGAAGCCCTAAACTAGAATGTTGCAAAATCTAACTGGTATAGTGGAAGCTTTTAAGCCTGTACTAACAACCAGAATTAAGCTTCCAGCAGAATTACCAGAGTTTCCCATTTTTAGACAAACGAGAGCTGAGTCAATACCGCCCGCGTATTTTGCTCTACGGTCTAGAAACTATAACACGGTTTGACTAGATACGATCGATCACCGCGTCATTAATCAGCTCCAATCATACAGAACGGCCTCGATCTTCTGAGCTTCTCCCTCTTATATATGCTACCAAGTACCAACAATACCAACAAAAAAAAAAAAAAAAACCATATCAAACCAAACAAACAAGAAGAAAAGAGAGAGTTTATATATGAACAGTAGATCACAAACATTAAACCAGGACTGCACTAAGCGTTTTAATTCTAGTCCTGAACGTCGCGAGAGAAAAACACGTTCTAATCCCTTGTCCTTGATTGTTATTGCTCAAGTTTTATTGCATCTTCTATCATTTGTGGTTAGTGCAAACTTAGGAATTGGAACAATTTATACGAATCAGATCATTGGGACTATGAGGATGATGGAATGGTCCGTAGCATCTGCTACAAACGCTTATTTTGACACCCTAAAACTGGTACTTTTCTTCCTTGAATTTTTTATTTTCACGTTTAATTTCTCTCTTGTGGAGAAGAACTTATGATTGATTCAAGAAGTCACATGGGTTTGTTTCCCTTAGAGGTCGTTACCGAAACGGGACTTCTTGCCAGATAGTTGACACGTTATATTGTCAGAATATTACAAATTACACCAAATTGAAGTTTACCTTTTCAATTGTACAGATTGACAGTTTGAAAACATGTCGTAGCAGTCAAATAAAAGAACAATTTCATATAAACCCTAGTTTTTCAGCTGTGTATCTTGGTTCTTGTGTTGTTTAAATGTGCTAACCCCAAATTTATATTCATTTCTGCAGTGTAATGACCGCAGAAGACAATGTGGCTCATGGAAAACACAAGAGCCAGGCAGCAATGAATTTGTAGCGGCCTTGGCTGCTGGCATGAAAGCCAAACTTATAGTGGAGGTCACCTCAAGTGTTTCCCCGTCAACGATAGCCCTAGCAGCTGCTGCAAAACACACAGGTGGAAAATTGGTTTGCATTCTTCCGGAGCCAGTCCTTGATGAATCAAAGAAAGTAATCAGAGACTCAGGCCTTAAAGACTTGGTAGAGTTCAAGACCGGTGACCCTTTTGAGCTCTTGTCAAATTACGAGAACATTGATTTTTCTCTGGTTGATTGCAAGAACGATGAGTACACAAGGCTGTTGAAGTTGCTTGATGTTAACCCTAGAAAATCAGTGGTTGTGGCTAATAACTTGGTTGGTGAAAGAAAAGGATTGGAAGGGAATTTAGGAGTGAAAGAGAAGAGGGTTCCAGTAAGGTCTACAAAGCATCCGATAGGAAAAGGAATGGAGGTCACAATGATTGGTAAGAATAGTGATCAGAGAGGAAATGAAAATTGGGGTGGAGGAAGAAAGAAGACGAGTGGTAAGAGCAAATGGGTTGTCAAGGTTGATGAGAAGAGTGGTGAGGAACATATCTTTAGGGTTCCAGGCTAAATCAGTTTTCATGTTATCTTTTGGTCTCAACTTGCAAAGGGAATAAGAAAGGATCCGGATGTCTTCTATATGTGAACTCTCCAAACAAATCTCTGAAGTGATCTCGAGTCTGCAACCTCGTATTTGTTGCCTCCTCAATATGCAGGTTCCTGCAGGCAATGCTGGTTTCGCATCTTAATGTTGAATGAACTTCAACCCTGCCTGGCTATGGAAGAGGTTGGTATGTCATCATAGCCAGAGAGAGTTAGAGAACTAGTGGATTGATCACTGTACTCTTTATGTATGAAAATCTCATAATTTCTATGCGTTTCTTAAAAACTCATCAGTGATAAATGAGTATATATATAAATCAAGTGTAAGAACCGTATATAATCTGTAAAATATTTCAAATTTGATCCACTTTACATATTCATTAGTTTGTAATTCTGGCTGTTTGTTTTCCTTCTTTTTGTTGTGATTTTGGCGCTCCACTTTTTCTCCCATGCACTCATTTCTAATTTTTCTAGCCCTTTGTGCACTAATAAATCAAAGGAGAAGGGATGAACACAAAATGAGGACATAAAAAGAGCAAATGAGAGTGTGAAGGTAACCATCCTTTCGTTTCATTAGTAGTTCTTTGGTGCACAAGTTATTCAATTCTTTGCCCTTCCATCTATTAGCGATCCCATCAAACCTAAGAGATAAAACCTAATGTGACATGCAATTAAATAGATCTCTTGGCTTAATATTGTATGTTGAGAGTGAATCTCACATCAAGAAAATAAGTGACCTTATATGTCATTATAAGTAACTAACTACTCCTCATATAGCTATTTGGTTTTATTGTGAAAATTCAACTTTCTTCACGGTATCAGAACAACAATTTAGGGTAGCGAGAGGTTGGATAGGAAGCTCATAATTAAGGAAGTTGAGGTTCCACCATAAAACCAATTAGCAATATGGAAAGTAGCCCAACTATTTATAAACACATGCAAGGTCCCTTGGGCTTCACATGTAAGACAACTTGCTCTGATACCATAAGGAAGCTGAGGTTCCATCATAAAACCAATTGGAAATATAGAGAGTAACCTAACTACTTATAAGCACATGCAAGGTCTCTTCTCTCACCAATGTGAGATTCATCTCAACAACTCAATGTACTTCGGTGAGCGTTATACCTACAAGTCCTTACATGAAATATAAATTTCATTAAAAATATATGGCGCAACACATCATCACAACCTGTTTAAGGATCAAGACACCTATAACTTTTATGATAAGGACTATATATAACCTATAAGTAATTAGCTACTCCTCATATAGCCATTTGGTTTTATGGTGAAAATTCAACTTTCTTCATGGTATCTTGGATAGGAAGCTCAGTTTACTCCAGAGTGTGTTGTACTTGCAACTCATTATAGGAAAAATAAATTTGATTACAAATAACATGATGTGACACGTCAACACGACCTATTTGGGGATCAAGACACCTATACTTTTATGCAAGGTTTTAAAAGACGTTAGGCGCTAGTCGAATGACGGGCTGGGGCCTAGCTCCTAGGTAGCTAGATGGGGCCTAGGCGGGCACTTAGGACTAGGCGAATTTAAGTAAATCTATTATATTTCGTGTAAATAAGTATTTGCTTATACTTAAAATATATATATATAATTTCATCATAAATTACAAAATAGAATGACATATATATTATGAAGTATTAGAACATATTAAAAACATAGGGAACAAGGATATAAAGTGTGTTCATTTACATATGCAACAAATCTCTTACAATTTATTGTAAAAAATAAAATGCAAAATGAAAGTTATCTATTTTCTGTCTAAGTGAGTCGCAACCTAGCCTAGGTGGGTGCCTAGGCAGTCTAGGCAGGTGCCTCAGCAAGTCTAGGCGCTCTTTCTTAATTCTCAAACGTTTAGGCATTAATCAGGACGGTGGTCAGCTGTCTAGCCGCCTAGGCGGCTCTAGGTGGGAATTTTTAGAACAATGCTTTTAAGATGAGGACTATAACCCATAAAGACACATGGCTTAAATTGACTCTTTAATTTGTGGGAGACATAAGATTCAAGGGAAAACACGAACACTCAAAGACACGAAGGTGAGAATAGGTGGGAGGAAAACCAAAATGAACAAAATAAGGAGAATTCCAATTAAGAGTGAGGCAAGCAAAAGAATAATGAGATGGACGGTTGTGGGGGCAACTTCATCCCATAATGCATAAAGGAGCCCCGAAATGTGGAGTAAGGCCTGTATTAAGGTGGCTATATGGCGATGATTACGTTGGGCAAGTCCATTTTGTTGAGGAGTAAGAGCGCGAGAGTAGTGTTGTTCAATAGCCAACTCATGGCAGAGAAGAGGAAATGGATTAGCATATATACTTCGTACCATTGCCACTTTGGAGAACCTAAATAGTAGCTTGAAAAATATTGCGATAGGCCTATCAAAATTTATAGCCCATTTAATTTAAATATTAAGTAGTTGAAGGCCTAGATTGCACGTCTTGTTGTTGACAGACCTGTCAAGAATTGATGACAACAACTGCCAACTCTTAATCATGAAGACTTGATGCAATTATTTTTTAAGTGGTACATATTTAAGGGAAGTGTTGTAAATAATATTATTAATTAGGAATGTGATTGTGTAAACTTAAAATAGAATCCCAATAGGATTTTGAGATCAAATCCTCATAGACTTTGTATACTTGTAAGGCAAGAAAATCTGTTAGAATTAGTTTAAATAAAGGTACAAGAGGTGAACATACAATTCTCATACACCTGAACCCTTTTATCGCTTTTATAATTTGATTTACAACATTTACAAGTTATATAGTTATTGTATCATTTCAATGATATTATATAATTATTTTCCCAAAATAAACCATAAAAATGTGCTTTGTAAAGGTCCTCAATCCAAATCTTATAAACGACATTTGTTGATTAGTAGAAAAACGAAAATGAGACTCAAGTGTTTACCCAAAAAAGAAGCATCTGGTCAAACTATGAGTTTCCCAATTATAGACAAATGAGGCGAGTTATAGCAGCTAATTTTCCCGCATATTTTGCTCTAGGGTTTTCCGGCATTAACACGTTTTGACTACGTCCGTATGACCATCGCGTCAATAACCAGCTCTAATCATGCTTCGTTGCTTCTGAGCTTATCCTCTTTGTATATATATCGTCACCAACAAAACTAAAAAACCGAACAAACACAAGAAAAGACAAATACATATCAACTGTAGAACAGAAACAAATCCAGGCGACAATAAACGATTTAATTCTTGTCCTGAACCTGAACAAGAAACACGTCCTAATTCTTCGATTCTAATTGTTTTTTTCTGCATATATTTTTTTTCTTCTGTGGTTGGATTGAAGTTGGAATTGAAACAAGTTAAAAGAATCAGATCATAGGGGCTATGAGGATGATGGAATGGTCTGCAGCATCTGCTACAAACGCTTATTTTCATACCCTAAAACTGGTATGTACTTTTCTTGTTCCCTCTTTCTATCTTCCATTGATGTTTTTTCTTTCTTTGTCAATTTCTCTGTTTTGTGTTTTCTTCCAATTTGTTTAAGAGCATTAGAACCAATGGTTGATTCAACTGGTCCCTTAGGTTTCTTAGAAATCAAAGATACAAAGGTACACCCTATAGAATAGATCCTGTTCAAGTAAGGTCGTTGGTCCTTTGGGTTTCTAATTAGTTCATAATTTTTTTTGGAAATAGGTGTAACTATGAAAAAACGTTTGTGTTTCTTAGGGTTTTGTTGCCTTTAAATATCACTACATAAATGGGACTTAAAATCATGTCAGACGTTTGACATTTTTTTTCTTTTAATATAGCGATATATTTTGCATGTTAAATTCTCTACTAAAAGGCTACTTCATTAATTGTCTAGATTGACAGTTTGACTTCTTTTAGTAAAAGAATGTATTTTGAATGTTCTCAGACGGTTGAAAGGTTACTTCATCAATTGCCCACATTGATAGTTTGACAACAAGTGGCGAAGTCAAATAAAACGGCATGTTCATATATACTGCCCTCTTTTCAATTTTGAACCTTTTTCCTCGTGTTGTTCAAAGGCTTAATGAAGAATGTAAGCCAATGTTTCCAATGTGCTAACTCCAAATTCACACTCATTTCTGCAGTGCAATGACTCTGGGAGACAATGTGGCTCATGGAAAACACAAGAGCCAGGCAGCAATGAATTTGTTTCAGCCTTGGCTGCCGGCATGAATGCCAAACTCATAGTGGAGGTGACCTCAACTGTTTCGCCATCTACAATAGCCCTAGGAGCTGCTGCAAAACAGACAGGAGGAAAACTGGTTTGCATTCTTTCCGAGCCAGTCCTTGATGAATCAAAGAAAGTAATCAGAGACTCAGGCCTTAAAGACTCAGTCGAGTTCAAGACCGGTAACCCTTCTGAGCTGTTGTCGAATTATGAGAACATTGATTTCTCTCTGGTTGATTGCAAGAATGATGAGTACACAAGGCTGCTGAAGTTGCTAGATGTTAACCCTAGAAAATCAGTGGTTGTGGCTAATAACTTGGTTGGTGAAAGAAAAGGGTTGGAAGGGCATTTGGGAGTGAAGGGAAAGAAGGTTCCTGTGAGGTCTACGAAGAATTCCATAGGGAAAGGAATGGAGGTCACCATGATCGGGAAGAACACTGAGGTTGGCAAGGGAAATTGGCGTGGAGGAAGTAAGAGGAGAAGTGGTAAGAGTAAATGGGTTGTTAAGGTTGATGAGCAGAGTGGTGAGGAGCATATCTTTAGGGTGCCTGGCTAAATCACTTTTCATGTTTTCTTTCGCTATCAAACTTGCAAAGGGGAGAGAAATGATGAGGATATCTTTATGGTGATAAACGCTCTGTCTTCCTCGGCCATCTTGATCTGGTTATATGAAGAGAAAGCATCCATAAAGGACAGCATCCCATGTCCAGCGGTGAGTGGTGATTGTGGATGCCTCCCCTCCCCTCCAATTGTTGCCTCAGTACTTTGAATGCTGCATGAAATTTATGGAAGAATCTTAGCCATCCCGGTTCTATTTCATGTTCTGAGACAAATAATAGAAGATATACAACCTTGTTACAAGGATGCTGTCTGACTACGAAAAATGCCACTATTTTTTGTCATTATGTAGCAAAGAAAAGCCCAAATGTCTAGTGATTAATTTGTTGACTGTACTTTTTGTATGAAGTCTCTAATTCTATGTATTGCTGAAAACCTCATCAATAATTATTGTACATCAAGTCAACTTCTTTACCCGTTTTCACTTATGGTGTAATTTGTTGCTCTTAGATTCGGTTTAGGGCATGAGATGCTTTTGAATGCAATTATAAGCCCTTCATTATGGTATCTTTATGGTATCTTGTAATACACAAGAAGTCGACTTCAAAGTGCTTCATCATTCATATCCAATCATCACTTATATTTTTGTTTAATAAATATCCAAGTAATAAAATTGCACTATTTTTATTTTTTAATTATACTTTTAATCCAGTATTCCGCCGTCCCTGACCTCTTACTATACTTCTAGCCAAAACAAAATAGTACTTTTTTTGTTTTGTTATATTAGAGGGTGTCGATAGTCTTGAACTTAGTTTACTTGTATCTATCACTCTCCCCAGCCTCGCTACTGAACTAACCCAGTGGCTTAAATTTTTTTGGGGGGGTGGTGTGGGTGGTGGTTGTTTTAGTTTGCAAGAATTGGAAGATTATTAGTAAAGATATTATGTCTCGAAAATATTGATTTGGTTAACTTTTAGTCATTAATATGATAATAATTAAACCACTGTAACACTCGACATCTGCCAACACCAACCAGCATTCCCACCACCACCAACCACATTCCACATTCCATTTTCCTTCAAACCCAAGAGACTAAAACCTCCCAACCTCCTGAATGTGCTTTCTCTTTCACAACTTACATTTTCCATGGTCTTGTCACTGCCTGTTCAAGCCTTGAATCTCATTCCTAAGTTTTTGGTCTTTCCAATGGCGAGCCCTGGGTCTTGGCTGATTTTTGCTCTGAGGTTTGCTTTCAGGCTATGTATTCTGACCCTCGTCTTGGAGGCCAAGTTTTTTGTTATGGCTGATGATGACAGTTATGTTCCGGGGGTTAATAGCATCATCAGGGACAATGTTGAATCGGAGCTTTGTGACAATGATCTGAGCAATTTTATGCTACCACCATATAGTAATTCATCATCTGATCTAGTCTGCAGGCCTATTTGGAACACTTTTGTTCTGAGAGTAAGTTTGTCCTCAATTTTTATTTCATTGTTAAGTTGGTTCTGTTGAGAAATAATTTATGCACACTCCCTCTTTCTGCACACTCATGTTTATTTTTGTCCTTCGATTCTTATTTAATTTATTCAATCCAAATGTCATAATAAACAAAGGTGTGTAAGGACGAAAAGACGTGTGCGGAAGTCATTATACGGTTCAAAACTATATATATTCAACATATAATTAAATCAAACTAGCTATTTCTTTCATTTTCTTGGTTGTTGCAGTACTCTCAGACAGAAGATCATGTCGTGAACATTATATTATCTGCTGTATACACCACAGGATGGGTGGGAATGGGATTTTCCAGAAATGGAATGATGGTTGGTTCAAGTGCAATAGTGGGATGGATTAACAAAAAAGGCCAAGTAAGAATTAAGCAATACTATTTGCAAGGCTCCAAGGTGTCACAAGTCATACCAGACAAAGGTGAATTGCCACTCACTGGCATTCCTGCTTCTGTTGTGCTTCATGGACCTAGAATTTACTTGGCTTTTCAGATGAAATTCAAAACTCATCTTGCTCGTCAGCCAATCATCTTGGCTATCGGAAGCCGTTCCCCCAAGCACAACCACCTAACCATACACAATGATAAAACAACCGTCTTGTTCGATTTCTCTTCAGGCTCAGCATCTGTGGGAGAGGCACCTAGTGATTTTGGACAAATGAAGAAGAACCATGGAATATTGACTATATTTGGATGGGGTCTAATAATTCCTATTGGGGCAATTGTGCCAAGATACTTGAAGCACAAGGAACCTTTGTGGTACTATCTCCATTCAATTATTCAATTTGTTGGATTTGTGATTGGGCTTGCAGCTGTGGTACTTGGCCAGCAACTCTATACTAAAATAGGAGCCAACTTTCCAACGCATAGAGGCATAGGAATTTTTGTTCTCGTACTTAGCATCCTTCAGGTTTGTCCCTCACATCTGAATTTATTACAATAATACTATGTAGATGCATAAAACTAGCACACTTGTTGACACATTCTCCTAAAGCGGTGGGTCCTATCATTACATGTGAGACCCTTATGTAGTAGAGAATCTATCACACTTGTGTTCCGCAAAGGAATTGTAATTTCATATTTCTGAGTTTTTTACTAGAGGTAATTTTCAGATATTGGCATTTTTTCTAAGACCCAACAAGGATGCCAATAATATTAGAAAGTACTGGAATTGGTACCACCACTGGCTTGGAAGGTCTGCAGTCTTCTTTGCAGCTGTGAACATAGTTCTGGGGATCAAAATTGGAGGTGAAGGAAATGATTGGAAGGTTGGTTACGGATTTCTTGTAGGCGTAATTCTTGTCTCAGTAATTGTATTAGAAGTATTGGCAAGGATGAGAAGAACAGAGAAGGATGATATTACTCCAAACTTCCAAATGAATCCAATTCAATAGGCAGCAAGAAATATTCAAGTTTCTAAAGAGGTTTCTCTCTCTCTTTTCTTCCTTTTCTTTTCTTCGTCTTTTGTTATGCAAGATATCATATTGAGGTAAAATACAGAATGAGAAAAAAAATTGGTATGAAATAGCTACATGTATTTTTTGACATATATGAATGACGAAAGCATATATAATATGTACGTAAAATTGAGAAGTGCATAGAAAAAGCTAAGGGAAAGTCGGAAGTGTTTTTCAACATTACGTATATGTATAATATGTGCGAATTTACTAACATCCATATTTAAATTATTCATGAATGGTGTGAAACAGGATGAGATTTATATGATTAGAGTGCATAGCAATATAGCATCTCAAACTTTGCGGCATGGAATGTGATGATCCTGCTCTGTAAGATGAATGCTTTAATAGTTGATTGCATAGATGGATTTGTGTTCCTCTTGTCCAAACCTAACATTTTGGATGTGAATTCCTACCGCGCTGCCTCCACATTGTAAATCGTTTTTAATTCTTTTATTTTGTAAATTAGATATTTTTGTTGTGACATATGTTCTTATCAATATGGGATTGTGTAAAACCTATGTAGAGATAAAGTAGGAATCCTTTGGGATCTAGAAGATCTTTCCTAATATAATTTGTATTACTTGGAGAGCAAGTTTCTCTCCTCCTTATTACTATAAATAAAGGCACAAGGACTAGGGAATTAACACACAATTCCTCAAGTCTATTATCCAATTTCTTACTCTTCCCTTTGCCGCACCTCTCTACTAAATATGGGTCACAACACGAAGAGAATTTATTCGTCTTCAATCAAGGGAATATTATGTTTCAAATATTTTTAATTGATTAAATTTTGATTTTATTGAATTCATATACTTCTATTGATTCAATTTATTTATTTTTCTTATGTTGAACGTGATACAAGCTTTGGAGATGGAAAGTCGAAATTGAAGAAATAGTTTTCAACATCAAACCAGTTTATCAATATCATCACGCAATCAGGTTCTTCCAAAACAACGGTTTTTAACTCGATATTTTTACAGTCCTAGTGGCATGAACATTCACTATAATGCATGACCCAACTTTACCTTTTTTGAATTTTAGATTTTACATAAATTATGTATGCATTATAATCATAATCCCATTGAATTATGTGAATTGATATTGCTATGAATTGTAGTAAACATGCATGAATTTACTAGAATTGAAAAAAATATATGCTAGGGTTTTGGTGGAAATCCACCGAGCCGCGGCACCAAGCCGCTGAGCTCCCCTAGGACGAGCCGCAAGCCGTGAGCTAAAAGGGCCTGCAGCCCTCCGTTGACCACAAACCTCCGAGCCATCGCATCGATTAGCCATCGCGCTAAGCCGTTGGCTGTTCCAAACCCTAATCTGAAAAATCGACATGGCCGTCGTCTAGGTGACCTGCAGTCGTCCCGTGGCTCATTCCGACGACTGGAAGTCGTCCACATCGTCGTTCCCGACGAAGCCCTTCGACTTTTCCTTCGAAATCTCCATGGAGTTCGAGATTTCTCACTCCTCAGATGCTTGGAACCCTTCCCCATGGAAACCCGTCCGACTCTGCTCGGAACTTGCCGGCGCTGCAGCCTGGTTTCATCGACGGCGAGCACAACCAGGTTTTGTTGGGGTGTTCGTAACCCGACCCGAGTCCTTAGGCTTCCTCTCGGTGCTCAGGCCAGTTGGGCCTTGTTTTCTTCTCAGCCTGAAAAACAAATTTTTTCTGTTCCTTTGGGCTCGCGTGCAGCGGCCCATTTTCTAGGCGTGGCCTGCCTGACATCAGCCCGTGAGGCTATGGTGCTTCAGTGCACTGCGAAGCACACGATCGCTACCCTTCTTTGGTCCATTTTTGAGCGACCAATTTTACTTGTCTAAAGCTTTATTGGGTTTATATTTTTTCGCCCAATTCTTCCCATTGACATGAAGACCACTAATTAATTAAATCACCATATATTGTTGCCTACATGCATTTTTCAATTGCTATATATTTTTTCCTTGTATATATTGCGTTTGTTTGCAAGTATTATGAACTTAAAGTTCATACTTCCAAATCCGAAGTTTAGGAAACGTGCCATATAAACCTGAAGTTTCTTCACACACAACACTCATACTGAGACCTGAAGTTCTCCATGCTTAAATCCATTTAAACTAAACCATGTCTTAGAACCTGAATGTTCTAACTTTGATGTTTATGGAAATTTTATTTCCTAAAACACCAATCACATTCTTGTTTCTGCCATTCAACGTATTGTCAAACCGTAACATGTTCGATTTCACTAATTTGGAAGTTTCGAACAAGAAACTGCTTTATGTGGTTACAAGACGTGACACCCCACTTGACTACGACTAGTAGCGAAATCATTGTAGCCAGTTATGGTGTATAAGAGCTGAATAAGCCTCCGCCATGATCTTTATTCGAAGATTTATGCCTGAAGCATATCAAATGGAAGTATCTCACTGCCAAGGACTTCATGGTTCTTTGACTCATTATAGATTGTTTCAAATCATGCAAAGATGAATTCTTGTCTGAAACAAAATATGATCGAAACCTTTACGTCCATGAATAGGTATAATTCTGAAGTTTATATCCGATCAATTTTGACTGGAAGAAAATCTTTTCTCATCATTCTATATCTAAATTGCTCCTGAAGCAACAATATAGACAGTGGAAGTCACCAAATTCTTGAATCTGATTACTACCACACTTGTGAGAAAATGGTACCCTAGCAATTTCGGCTGGAGTCTATCGAATAATGGTGCCCTGATTCGGCAGGGATACACCAAAAATGCATGCTCTGCTTCGACAGAGATGCACTGAAGGGCATGCTCTGCTTCAGTAGAGGTGTACCGAATGGTATTGCTCTGCTTCGGCAGAGACTATCAAACAGGCCTTTCTAGTTTCAGCTGGAGCCTACCGAACCCAACTCTAGGTCTGTCTGTCTGTCTCTCTCACAATCCTATTTCGAGTTTGTTTTACAACATATGGTAGGATCAGACCTGCCAAAAGGTGATATCATGCCTGAAGCATGATCTTTGGCATCTAAAACTTCAAAAATAAGATATAGTATTCCCGAACCTCAACCCTGCAGAATCTAACTCCATTTTGACGGAATAGATCATTGGTTATGCAATTTTCCTTGCTTTTACCAATGTTGTTGAGGAGTACCATTCTCATAGTCAATCTGTGAGACTAATTTAGCTCCACCTAATATATTTGGAAGAGCGAAATTTGACATGGAATGCCTATTGGGCGAACCCTCTTGTTTTTTGGTTTCCTTTGTGAATAATTTATTTTATTCTCAGATTTAAGATTGGTGTTTGGACGTCACTATTATTCTCGAATAAGACTTAATTAATGAAATTACCACATGTGACTACAATTAAATCATGCTTAGGTATGTTTTGTGGGGAAGTTAGCTTGTCTGGCTCTATGCTAGCTTCATACCTAATCATCCCCAAACAACCTTTCAAGCTTATCCAACCTGTTTATGGGCATGGCAATGTCCTATATTGTCAAATGGTACTAATTTTACCATAAAGGGAAGCCTTATACTCATTCATTCTGGAAGAACGCCCTTTTTGAGTTTTAAGGATATTAGAGAGCACTATTACCATATTGAAACCAATGTAGAAAAATGGAGTAAAATTCCTTAGCATATTACCATATTGCACTTCCTATGAATATAGCCAAATGCATATTCTAGAGAAGATGGAATGCTTAATGAGTGTATTACACCTATTCAGGCCCACTATGTGGTCGGCCAGAAGCCCCGCGATTCTAAAGGAATTTTCACTATGGATGTACATTTGGGATATCTAGGATGATTCGTGATGCGCCGTTTTGGGCATCCTTTCACCAGAAGTGAAGAAATCATACCTGGACACATATCATCTTTTAGGACCATCCATCTTTCTACAAAGGATTCAAATGGGACATTTGTCGACTGATTCAACCACCATGCGGACCATTTAGATACTTTATTGTATTGGTTGATGTTTCTACATGTTTGTCACACATGTGGTTGTTGTCCATAAGTTGCATTCTCCACAATGGTAGCTCAAATTAACAAGTTCAGGGCTCACCACCCTAATTATCTGATCAAATTTATTTGATTGGATAAGTTGGAGAATTTACATCGAAAACTTTAACTTTCAATGGATATTGCATGTTGGTTGGGTTTTGAAGTTGAACATCCAGTCCCATGTTCATACCCAGAACGACCCAACAGAAGCATTCATTAAACGCCTTCAAATGATTGCGCGATCGATTGGTCATACGTACCAAAGTTTCCGATCTCTACTTGGGGCCATGCAATATTGCAAGCAACCATGTTGGTCTACCTGAGGCCCATCATGACCCAACCTTATAAAGCGCGTGTTAGTTGGTTACCAGATACGAACCCGACATATCACATTTGCGCGTCTTTAGTTGTGTGTTGTATATGCCATTATGCGCCGCCCTTACATACAAAAGAACAAAGGGGTCCTCAGGGAAGGATGGAAATCTATGTCGATCATGATTCTCCTTCTAATATTCGTTACTAAGAACCTTTGACAGATGATCTCTTTACCGCTCGTTTTGCGGATTGTCACTTTTATGAGACAGACTTCCCGTCGTTAGGAGGAGATAAGAACGCCAACGTTCCTAAAGAACGATGCGAATTATCGTGAACGTCCCCACTATGTCTCATATCAATCCCAATCTAAATCGTCAGAGTATAACCAAACACTTCTTCTAATCTAGCAAAAATGACGAGATCACATATACCAGCTGCAAATATGCCTGCAAAGAAGAATGTACCAAATGTACAACGAACCTTCATCCCGAAAACAGGAACGCCACAATTGTGGCCGACGCTCGTACAGTGGTGGCTAGCTAATCAATCTATCCTACGCCAGAAGCATGGTAGATCACTCGGTTCGAGGATTCACCTCCCCAAAAATGGAGTAATATGGCATGAACAAATCCGCCCCTCGATCGCTATCTCAAACCTTTTCATCTCATGAGATTAAATCCGGATTACTCCGGAGACCTGAAGTTCTTGGTCCTGTATACTAATTTGGATGAGATATGGAATTGGAATGAGATTATCATAGATGATGTTTCATTTATATGGTAACTACCGACGTAAATGAAAAACGACGATAACGAACCGCGTTCCGTTGATTAGTGTCAACGTAGAACTGATTGGTCAACTAAAAGAATCAATTGATGACGAATGAGATGGATGAAATAGTGTAAATGACGCCTTGTGGTGCAAGGTTTCTTTCATACGCCATGTGATTGATTGTAGCATTATAAACGCGGTTGTAGTATCTCTGGGATCGTGATACGAACCTACATGGAGTTTCCAAAGAACTTACATGTACTGATTCAAATAACTCTAGACCACAAGAGCATCATCTCGGTTCTTAAGAGGCTTTCACTTTGCGAATGCAGAACTATCCGAACGGATGTGGTATACCCGTCTAAGTGAATATTTGATCAGTTAGGGATATATGCCCCTGTGTGTACAAAATCCAAAATTGCTAGAATTAAGAAAACTAACTCATACCTAAATCGGACTTTAAGATGAATGATCTTGAGAAAACTCGACATTACCTCGACCTGAAGTTTCGAGCTAGCTCTAATGGTATTCTGGTCCACTACTCGAACTAGACCCAGAAGGTGTTACGTCCAAGTATACCCTAATCGTCTGTAT